GAGGCCTCGCCCTTCCGCTGCCCTTGGGAGGCCCAGAGAGGCCTGCTGATGGGAAAGCCTGGCCGGAGAGAGACCCGGGCTCAGCCACGGGACTTGTGGGACCACCCAGCACAGACAGGAGCCCCCCAAGTGGTGGGGCAAACTGGGGAGAGGTGTAACTTGGAATCATGGGATCGAAGAGAGGGCACAGAGGGAGGCTGCTTGGAGAGGCATTGAGCTCGTGTCCAGGATGGTGGCATGACTTGGCATAGGAAGGATGGATCTTTGAAGCAGAGTCCGTGTCCCTGAATGGCACACGGAGAAGCTGGGGACCTGGCGCATGTTCTCTTGTAGGCGTTTGAACCCAAGAACAATCCTTTTTAAAAGCTGAGGTGGCCATCAGTGCCCGTGGACATTCCAGGTGAACTATGTGCCACGCAGGGGGCCGCCCTGTGTCTTGCTGAACAAGCAGCGGGACAACCATGACAAGAACTAGCCAGGTCACCGGAAACAGTGCCCACCCAGGTGCCCTCAGCCTCACCCTCAAGACAGCTGCATTGTTCCTAGAAAATGGGCAGGGGGCAGTCTGGGGGAGACAGGGAGGTGGGCAGTGAGAGGCCTTGTGAGAAGCCGGGAACAAGGGCCAGGGATGCTGGCAACCACCCGGCCAGGGCCCCTGGGCCCATCTGCAGGACGCCCGGGTGCCATTGGCCTTGGCTGGGAGAGAGCACAGCCTGGTCGCCTGCTGCACCTGCCCCACGGAGAAAGCAGGAAAGCAGTGCGTGGCTGGAGAGCAGGCTCGTGAGGTCTGCCATGGGGCGGCCTCTGGTCAAGTCCCTGCGACCTCCAAGGATGTCCTGGAACATTAACAGCATGTGGGGCTGTCTTAGATCAGGAAAGGGGTGGTGGCTGTGATCTTGACACCATAGAACTGCCCGAATCATGGGTGCCAAGCCCACTGGATCCACTGGCCATCCTGGGTATCAAGAGATTAGGGATGGATGGGTAGGTGAATGGATGCGTGGATGGGAGGTGGGTGTGGATAGATGAGTGGATGGGTGAAAGGGTGGGTGAGGATGGGTGGATGGGAGGTGGGTGAGGATGGGTGGAAGGTGGGTGTGGATGGGTGAGTGGACGGGTGGGTGAGGGCACGCAAGCTCTGAATCCTCCATAAGCCATGTAGAATCCTCCCAGGAAAAATAGAATCTGAAAGTGCACGTGCCAGAGCCCTGAGGCTGACTCGGGCCAGGAACAAACACTCTCTGAGAACAGAGGCTCAAGACCTGGGGGGCTCAGCTGGGACCAATCCCAGGACGGGTGGCCCCCATAACTCAGGGCCAGGCGTCCTGCTCAGTACCACTGCAGTGGAGCTTCCAGAAGGACAGTGGGAACACAGAAGTCAGCCCTGGGGAATCGCTGCCCATTGACACTGCCCAAGGCTGCAGCCACCAGCCAGTGGTTACTAAAACCTGAAAGAAGTGATGACAAAAAGATGCAAATAAACTGCCAGGGACACTGGCCACAGTTCAAGAATTCAAAAGCAACATCTGGCCAGCAGCTGCCGTAGGAGGGAGGGTGAGGCACCTTTTCAACACCCTGGAAAGTTCTACCATCAGCACCATCCAGGTGAAAAGTGAGAAGGGAAGCTGGGCCCTCCAGGCCGCTCACCACGCCTGCTCCTCTTCTGCAGGGCGTCTCTGTACATGCGCCGCTGCTCGTGGTCCAGGCGGCCCCACTCCTCCTGGGAGAGATACAAAGCCACATCCTCAAAGGTCACCGGCATCTGAAAGAGAGGAATGGTCACATCACGGTCCGGGCCACTGCATGGGGA